CTGCCCGAGCCGCGCAAGACAAAAGAACTAAAACTGCGCCACGGGAATATTAATAAGAATTTATCTCACGCCGCCGTACCTAAGTATCTGCAGCACGCCTTCATTTTAAAATTCATAAAGCTACGAGGCGACGCGACGCACGTTCCACAAAGAAAATGTTAGGTACGAAAACGATTTCGTTTTAAATGCAATTTACTTATTCATCGCTAAGTAATCCTGACCCGCAAAGAAATGTTTAAGCTCGTACTGAGTAAACAGAGTTTTATGGGCAGAGAAAGTTTGCACGCCCTCGCTCCCTGTTCATGGACAAAGCGGCTACTGGCTCGCCCGGAAAGTAGCCGGGTGCTCCGCTGGGTCGCCAGGGGGACACGCGCCCCACATTACAATGCTGCGTCGCGGCTCCTACTTGTAATGCGGGATCGTGCCACTAAGTTATTTGGGTAATCGTTGGATCCACACATTTTGAACTCGTAACACAAACCTATATTTTTGGCACTGCCATGCTTTTTATTTTACCTACAATAGAATCAAATCTACGTAAATATAAAAGTTTGTTTAAAGATCTATATAATCAGTCTTAAATATTTTTAGAGGTCAATAATCAAAAAACCGAAAGAAAACCCCATCAAAAACAAAAAAACCTATGTAGATAAATAGACCAAAATAAATCAACTACACTTCTACACAATGATGCCATATAAAATTCGTGGGCTGAAAACTAATTTAAATAATTCACACTTGGCAGATGAAATGTGAATTCAGATGAAAATAATGCAGACGAGTTGCCGACACGAGGCACGACGTGAACGCACCCGATTTGTAATGGTTGGCGTCACGCGGTCTAGCAAGATGGCGGCGATCGCTCCCTGGAAATGTTCCACTATTATTTGCAGTCTCTCCCGTTTCCTACTATGTACAATACTCACCGTTAGCTTTTGGGGAATTATTAGTCGTTCGATGAAAACAAATCAATTCTTAATTATTTTCTTCTTTTTGATGAGTACGATGCCGTCTTTATTCGACGAGGTATTTGATCTAGCTCCTTGTACAACATTGAAGTAACATAAAACCATTAATAAGCCTCTTACCCTATCCGTCTAAGTCAACATCGGTGTTCTCGGAGATGCGGCGGGGTGGTGGCTGGAGGGGACTCGGGGCGCGTTGCCGTGGTAACGCACGGGGGCGCGGACCCGAATTTTATCGATTCGGGTACAGACAGCAGCCGGGTGAGCTTTCGCCTACACTAACACGATTCAACGCTCGTGTTTGCAGATCTCAGAGGTTTATAAGGGCTTTGACATTTGGAAACACATACGCTGTTTGGATGTCTCTCTATCTACATACCTACATACAGAGCACGTTAGGCCCACATAAACCGCAAATCAGTTCAGTACGTGATTTTCGGAATAAAATCATTTTAGTATAGTAGCATTTCATACCCCTTTATTTTTTAGTCAAGATTATAAAGAGTGTTTTCAACACAAACATCTATAAGATTAGGATTTAGATAAGATCTGTATGGTATTCTTATGAATGGATATCGGAAATAAATACCTGATTTATGATTGCACGTGGGTACCTACCTAGGTACCTAGTAATCAACTAAATTGAAACATCTCAAATGTATTTCCAAAAAAAGCTGTAAAGCCTATAGCCGTATATAAATCGTATCTGATAGCGGCGATAATTTATACAACTGCTTATATTTTATTATCACACAACGACGTGGATGGCTACGCAATCCATTTCACCCCAAACAAAAATTTGGCAAAAATGGGAGCAGTAGTTACTTCGCAACGAAAACAAGTCTCCCGAAGCGATTTTTGAGTAGGGATAAAAAGGAAAGTGGGGTTCCAAAGGGTTCTCCTCGCGAGATATGAACTAGTGCACCCTTCTCGCCGCCACCCCTATCAATTGTTACCAGTTGCGCATATTTTTACCCGCAGAAACAACCCACTGGGAGCTGTGAGACCGCACCGCGTTTTACGTTAAATCACACGAGAATATTCGCTTTCTTGAATAATGTAATGCTTGCTGCTTATTTGAATAAATATTTATTAGTTTTACGGTCGCACAAGAAGGTACTTATCCTAAATTGTGGCTGTTTTGTTAAGGTAACTGTATGGGCTGTCATATTGTTCACACATTCGGCTACGAGAGCTATGGGTTATTAGGTACTAATTTATGTAACTACACCACCTGCGTTTACTACACTGTAATTTCGGAAAAAATCTATAACCATGCATATACACCTACCTACAATATATTTTTATTTTAGACAGTTTATATAACTTCATTACTTCCTTTTTCCAGCAGTTACTTAACTACACTAGGATTGAAGAGATGTACACTTAAATATAATCTATATAAATAACATACGGGGTAAGGTAAATAAAACCGTTTGCCGATGGCTGATCCTATTTGGCAAATTTTAGTCTTGTAATGTTCGTGGAAGTCCAGAGAAGGTTCAAAACGTGAGATAAATATTTTTAAGCACTACGAAATTTGCAGGGTCAGCTAGTAAAAAATATAATCGAACAATTCATGGCAGTGCAAATTGAAAGAAGAAATTTGACTTCAGGAAGAAAAGTAATTTACCTAACTATGAGAAGTACCAGTTGAGCATACGTATAAGGTATAACTAACTAGCTCATTAAAATTTAACTTTACTTACTTCATCTTACAAACTTGAATGTTGGTGTTGAAATGCTAACTTTACCTACGTAGGTAGGTACTTCAAAAGTTCCCGCAAAGAAACATGAAGCAGAACTTCCTGACAAGCGCAGCAGGAGGTACGCAACTTACTAGAACAATGAACGAACAGTTCCCTCTCCTAACTCAAGGGAATCACAAAATCTAGAATAGAGTTAACGCAATGAATATCTAAAGTAGGTGACACCACAGCTGGCAAACAACAATCAAAAGCAAACACGCTGACAGGACACACAAAAAAATCAGTTTTTCCAGTCGACTTCCGTAGACGACATTTACAAAAAGTATCGCAGGGTCCGATTAACACAGTATCCTTGAAGATGTCGCTCGCAAAAAGGGGCATAAGGGGACAAAAGGCCCTGAAACATTTCTCATTGAGGCGAAGGGCGGCGAGCGGTCGTGGGGTGGCCCCCGGCTCCGGCCCGCGCCGGCGACACCCCGCCACGTAGCAGTCTCCAGCCACGGTGTCCATAATTTATGCTTTCGAACGGACCACGAAAAATAAATGAGCACCAGTAACAAGAGGAAATGGAAAAGTAACTAACATCTCTTTGTGAAGTACTGTTTGCCTCCCTGTTTTCTGTTTTAGACAACTTTTAACAAATTATTGTTTGATTATTATTTTTGATTCGGTAAAACACTTTCTCGTGTCAACGAAAATTACTTCTGCATTTGTTTGTGTTATTAACATTTTACTTTATGCGTTATAAAAAAAACGTATTTTAGAAGTCTATAAGTAGATTATTAAAATATTTGCCAACTCACTGGAATATTAAATCCTTGCCTTATTCATGGATACCTCTTTTTATTTCTAATCCAGCGCGAGCTTAATGTGACGACAGTTGCTATAACAGTTTAGAAACCTAATTACTATTCTAAAGCTACTTATTCTTCTGTTGAAACACTTAAGCGAAACTGGTTCGTTACTCGTGAAATTACTAGTAAAAAGATAAGCACAGAAAATTATGCCGACGAGAGCAATTTGGCGAGATTGACTGACAGCCCTAAAAAATTCTTAAGAATTTCGGCAACCTGGATACCAATTTTTATAAACATCCAATAATAATTGAATTATTACTTCTTATTACAGTTACGACACGACGCGGACGGCTGTTTCTTGGTTTGAATCAGGAACGTGTTAATTTCTCGAACCACATAGGGTTAATAAACATTTTGTACGGTAAACGGTCAAAAGTCCACTGCCACCGTAATACTACTATCGATTGCGCTGCAGCGCTTATACACACATGCACACGCATATTTTTATTGCGTACGCGTACGCACGCGTTTTTATGCACATTAATATGAAATTACTTACGCATTGCCGTGTGAACATCACTCACGGTGACGGCAGTGGACTTTTGACCTGTGACGTATAATTGATGGGCAAATAGGATAATGAAAGTCAAGTTTGTACCACGAGTGTTTGGATATAAAAAAATCACACCATGCTTTTACTTATTTTTTTATTGAAATAGGAAAATAATTGGAGACAACATAATTAATAAGTCATTATCAATTAAAAATAAGTATCGTAATAGCTACTTTATATAAAACATTCACACGATCGCTTCTTACATTTCTAGGCTTAAAACTTCATTAAATGGCCCATCTTAAACTATAAGAGAACCAAGATGTTTTAATAACGTTATACAATAATACCCGTCGAATTCTAAAAGTAATTGTAATGGAAATGAACTGCTTTTTGAGCAAAATTCACAATCAGTTTATACCGGAAAGAATACACGTTTTTTACCGCAATATATTATCAGACATAAATTGTGGTATCAAATACTATTTGCATTTAATTAGTGCAGTCACTATCATGTTATCCTTAAGACAGGATACGTTAGTACCAAGTCCCATACTTCTAGAATTTCGACATTTTCAAACAAACTTGTTTATGCAGCAGAGAGAGTACAACAATGATATGATCAATTTATCTCTGAACCTGCTTATATGTGTATAACATCACTACGATATTTGATTAAACTGTTCCAAGCTAGGTTTTATCATTGGATACAAGATGGCATGTCAAAAAGACAGTTTATACATAATTAGGGAACGACAAGGCGGATTTACGACAACTCAGAAAAGAGACGGAAACAAAAAAAATGTCCATGACAGACCACTGCAGGACGATGACCCTTATTTATTAAGGTGATAATACACTGTCGGGACTATGAGCCAGAGCCACCTCTACAAAGAGGTTTTAACATAATCACCTCACAAACATGGCACTATCAGTATCGGTGGTAAGGGTCACTTAATAATTTGTACATTTACAAAGAACATTAGTACGTCACTTTCTACTGGTAACGCAGTTCAGTAACAGCCCTTTTCAAGAAGCGACTGAGATTAGTAAACTCTTGTTCGATGACGGCGTTAAACCAGAGCTTATTATCAGCATCTCTATGGTCTATAGCGTCTAAATGTATGTAGGTATAAGGAGCGAACGCTATACTGTTTCTAATACTCAACTTAGCGTCAACGTCAGGCATTAACGATCCAAGTTTCCCAACAAGTTGAGGGTGTAATTTGCTGAATACAAATCCTAAGTTTCTGTCGCTCAGTACGCCTTCGCTGTACAAACAGTTGATCAAATCTGAAGTATACGCTTCTAGTACTTGCATCTGTTTCTCAAAAGTGTCGCTGTTCATTATCACGTTTGATTGTTTGGCTGTAGTAAATATTTTTTTGTACCTGGAAATAAATTGCGATTGTATACATTGGAAGAGCACAATAGATAATAAAATATATATAAGCTTTGTCTATTGTGATCGAATGATGTTATGTTTGATCTTCGAACGCTGCGAATATAGTCGTAAGTCAAAGGTTTTCCAAAAAACTCACAATAAAAACCGAAACAGATAATAACTATAATAATTGAATTTTGCTGACTGTTGAAGAAGCTAAAGTTGTATTAAGAATCGTAGCAATTGGCCTTCCATACTCTCTGCCTACCCCTACGGAAGACAGGCGTGAAATTATGTATGTTTATATGTAATCAAGTTTTTTTTAATTAAAATGTTAGTCTACCTCCTAAACCTAGCCCCTTACTGCATTTTAATTACCACTACCGCCATCTAGCGAGAGAAATTATGAAACACTTAGATAAGATAGTGAGGTGGTAAACTTACAGTATCATGAGTTCTGCGACCGAGTCGAGCAATGCAGCGGACACGCCGAGCAGTGGCAGCGCCAGCGCCAGCGCGGGCGCCAGCGCGCCGGCCGCCGCCCCGCCGCGCGCCTCGCCCCGCGCGCGCACTGCCGCGCCGGACACGGTACTGTGCACCACTACCATTTGCTCTGCACACGCGAAATAAACACATTCTTTATGAGATACTCCGGACTAACTTCTTCTTTACTAGACAAACGGACATGCTTATCATCTGATGGTAAGCACTCAACAACACCCAAGAATACCGCAATACCAAAGGACTTTACCAAGTGCGTTTGAACGCCTTTGGAGGCAAGGGGGATGTTACAAGTTAACGTCGAACATTGTAACAGAATGCTTGCAATCCTTAATAAAGGGGCTTGCTATAGAGTTTTCTTGCAATCAAGACCAAGAAATTAAACTTACCTTAAACTGTCAAACACCAAGCGGTCACCGGTGACCGCGACCTATTGTTCTTTAATTGTGTCTATAAAACCGGTACTCGACGGGTTAAATAACCGAAATCATCGTTCAAATTGGTCAGGGTTAAAACACCAAAAAAGAAAAGAGCTGAACACTTACCTGGATTGACTTGTAGTTCTTTATCACACATGTCACTGATGGCGGTGGCTACTTGGGGCAAAACTTGTGCGTACACTTGAGGCGATGGCGGCGTACCCATGAAGTGATAGCGTTTTCTAGTACTGGCGTATACCTAGGAGATAGAAACATCTAGTTATGGCAATTTAGTGTGAAGAATTTTTAAGTAACGTACTTGAATGACTATGAAAGTAATAAATGCTAAGAAATAATAAGAGTCATAGTAAATGACACTAGGTGACTCTTTGTATTTTTATACTACTATACTACTACCTACTTCTGCTCACCCGCTCTGCTCGGCTCCTATTCATCGTAGCATTATGTTTTATACCCTTTCTCCACAAATGGGCTATCCAACACAAAAAGATTTTTTCAAATCGGACCAGGAGTTCTTGAGATTAGCGCGATCAAACCAACAAACGATTCAACTTTATATAAAAGCCGAGGCGGGTCGCTAGCCGCCTCAGCTTCGCACGGATGCAATATGTATTTATTAAACATTTAAACCTTCCTTAAGAATCACTCTATCTATTAAAAAACCGCATCAAAATCCGTTACGTAGTTTTAAAGATCTAAGCATACATAGTGACAGACAGACGGCGGATAGCGACTTTGTTTTATACTATGTAGTGAAGTATGAGATTAAATACCATTCAACTTATTTCTTTCACAAATGATTCTGCAAGTGTAATCCGACATTTATATAGATAGCACATAACTAAATTAAAACTATTGACTAAGCATTCCTTACCAGATTACAGTACATATGGTTGAGAGCCCTGAGTATGGCGCACTGCTGCGCGGCCCGCGCGCGGTGGTACGCGGCCGCCAGCGGGGACACCACGCACTGCACCACCTCCGCGCCGTCCACGCTCACCCACTGCACCAGCTCCAGGACCTGGGGGACAATCAACCAGTACTCATTACGTATTTTACGGGTTTCATCAAATAGGCCACGGGCCTATTGCCATACACATTACACAAAGAATATACTTGGTATAATTATGACGACAGGAGCTATAGCCAAATGCCATTTAGCGCTTGTCTACATGTACAATAGAAACGCAAATTATATGGAATTGACCTAAAGGCACTGGGTCGCAAAGTCGCATACAAAAAGTGAAGGTTATAGATACTTGTGTAAATTTCACTTTCCGCGACAAATGGGAATGAAAGAAGAAATATTATATGTGCACATCTGCCACCCTGTTCGAAGTATAAAAGACGCATTGTAAGCATGTATTATGATGATTACCTCTGCAAAGAAATCACTCTCATTCCACAGAGGCAGGTATTGTGCCAGGAACCTTGTGATGACTGGTATCCCCTGCATGAGAGTATGCTGCAATACTGCTAAACGGTGCAGCAAGTCCTGCTTCTCTCTGTAACTGTGTGGTGATATGTTCAGGAAACCTGTAAGGAAGGAATTTGTGTTAGCACATCCTTACTAGTCCCTACTAATATTTTAATCGGAAAGTGACTTTGTTTGTTTGTTCCGATTTCACGCCGTAACTACTAAACCGATGGCTTTGAGTTTTTGCAGACGTAATGTTAGAAGTCTGGATTAAATAATAGGATACTTTTTATCCCGGAAAAATTTGATATTCCCGAGGGAAAACAAAAGTATTGGTATAGATGGCGCTGTATGTATTAGTATATGTCACATAGGCTACTTTTTATCCTTTTGTGACGCGAGCGAAGCCGCGGGTAAAAGCTAGTAATATGAATAAATTATTATACATTACAACTACGGCAACAGCCGTTAAGGTGCGACTGGAATTATTTCTTTTTTAACGAGTGTCGTCTCAGTGACCTCTTGCTTAACTTAAATAGACTGCCTCGTTAGCCGAGTGGTCGCAAGTGCGACTGCCGGGCAAGGGGTCATGGGTTCGATTCCCGGGTCGGGCAAAGTATTACTGGGCTTTAAAAAAATTCTCAGTAGTAGCAAGGAGTCTGGAATTGTGCCCGGTATATGGCAATAGGCTCACCCCCTATTACATGGGACTCATAACATAAATAGTGAAAAGTGGGTGTTACATAGTACAGTGGCATAATGTGCACCTACCCCTTCGGGAATAAAAGGCGTGATGTTATGTATGTTGTTGTTGTTGCAAGAAAAATATTGATTGAGTCTATAAAGTGTAGATGTAACAAACTTACTTTCGCATTCCAATATTAAACTGTCAAACACCGAGCGGTCACCGGTGACCGCAACCTATTGTTATTTAATTGTGTCTGTAATGACGGTACTCAACGAGTTAAGTTAGAACAGTTACTTACAGCTATTAAGCAGATGATGGAGGTCATGAGACAAGAACTCCTGTTCCGTGTGAGAGGCGAGGGCCAGTAGAGCCACGCCGGTCACGTTACACAACAGCGCTCGTATCCGAGCCGGCCGGGACGTCGAACGCTGGACACTGCACTGCAGCACTGATACTGGGCTGTATAAGGAAACAGTACATCAAGTTTTACATCTGTAATTGACTGACTGCACGGTTGGTGCGGTGGCTGGGCAACCGGCTGCCGTGCAACGTGTCGCGGGTTCGATACCCGCACGGAACAACACTTTGTGTGATCCACAAATTGTTGTTTTGGGTCTGGGTGTCATTGTGTATGTGAACTTGTATGTTTGTAAACGCACCCACGACACAGGAGAAAACCCTAGTGTGGGACAAAGTTAAAAAAAAATCTATGAAAAAGTGCGGAAATTATCAGTGACTTTTTTTCTTTACTGACCATTTCTTTTTTATTTTGTATAGTTAAAGGTTGAAGTAATCTTCCTGATACGCGATACATTTATTAGAAACGTTAGGCATTGACAGCCTTGAAGGCGTAGACTTACAGGCGGGCGTGCAATATACGATAGAAAACTCACAAAAATACTTACTCTGTGAAATCTAAGAAATTCTTCTGATGTTCTTTTTCTGCATACTGCTTTGAACCAATGTTCAAAAACTCAACATTTGGTACTAATGGATCTACCTTCTTGTTTCGTCCACGGTCCTGTAATCAACAATTATCTATATAATAAGAAAGTCGTGTTAGTTACACCACTTATAACTCAAGAACGGCAGAATAGATTTGGCTGAAAATTGGTAGGGAGGTAGCTTAGAGCCAGGAGACCGACATAGGATACATTTTAACCAATTTTTTTTTAACTTTTTTCCGAATGTCACGAACGGGGACGGGAAAAAATGGGATTACACGTACGAAGTCGCGGGCAGAAGCTAGTTTAATATAGTAACAGATTACAAAATCCTTATACCTACCAAAGATATTGAACCTACCTCTGTAGCTCTCCTAGGGTGCACAGACAAATAAACAATTATTACTATTATTAAAATTATAGAAAATAGTTTAATGAGTGCCTCGTTGGCCGAGTGGTCGCAAGTGCGACTGCCTAGCAAGGGGTCTCGGGTTCGATTCCCGGGTCGAGCAAAGTATTATTAGATTTCTTTTTTAATCTCAATAGTTGCGGAGTCTGGAATTGTTCTAGGTATATGGCAATAGAGTCACCCCCTATTACATGGGATTCATAACATAAATAGTGAAAAGTGGGTGTTACATTCTAGTTTTTTTTTCTTTTAAAAACGTTAGGATTTTCTCCTGTGTCGTGGGTGTGTTTACAAACATACAAGTCCACATACACAATGACACCCAGACCCGAAACAACAATTTGTGGATCACACAAAGTGTTGTTCCGTGCGGGAATCGAACCCGCGACACGTTGCACAGCAGCCGGTTGCCCAGCCACCGCACCAACCGTGCAGTCAAAGTGCAGTCAGTGGCATTAAGTGCCGTAATGTGCATCTCTGCCAACCCTTCAAGGATAAAAAGGCGTGATGTTATGTTGTTATGTTTAATGCAAGTATCAAATTCATTTTAAAAAGCAATATTTACAAAATAATAAAATTACTCACAGAATTAATAGGATTAATCCATGTTAAGTGATGTCTGTCTCTGCGGACTGAGTTCCTGCTTTCCTAGAAAAATAGAAAATTATTATTTATATACAGTAGACCAACAGGTGACTACTGATCATGAGGTTGCTATTGATTCACATTTTAGCAAGAATACAGAGCAGAAATTATTATAATAAACAACATTTATAACACAATGCTAGTGTTACTCATATGAATGTATGTTCCATACCTGATTCCTCTTGAATCTTGCCATAAGATCTGGGTTGATCTTCTTGAAAGCAGCGTGGATGGAGATGGCAGGTATATCCTCAGGCACACATTCTGGTTTATAGGATTTGAAGAGACCGAGAAGTACTTGAAGCTGTCTGAACATATTCTGTAAACAAGAAATAGTGGTATATATCATTATTTACTACTGCCTCGTTGGCCAAGTGGTCGCAAGTGTGACTACCGGGCAAGTGGTCTCGCGTTCGATTCCCGGGTCGGGCAAAGTATTACTAGGTTTAAAAAATGTCAATAGTAGCACAGAGTCTGGAATTGTGCCCGGTATATGGCAATAGGCTCACCCCCTATTACATGAGACCCATCACATAAATAGTGAAAAGTGGGTTTTACATTGTACAGTGGCATAATATGCACCTCTTCCTACCCCTTCGGGATAAAAGGCGTGATGTTATGTTATGTTATCATTATTTATTTTATTTTAACAAGGCTATTGGCTTGACCCGTTGAAAATCGTTGAAAATCATCCCCTTAATTTGTTCATACAAAAGTATTCTCTAAACATTGGAAATAAGGTCTATAATGTAGTTAGTGGAGAGCGGCCACCGGTGACCGCTCTCCACTAATGACGGCTTAACCCATATATCCACTATATGGGTTAAGCCTGATATAGGCAGGATGAAGTTCATTCTCAAAAAGGTTGTCTGTTGAAAGTTGCGCATATAATGTGTTTTATACCAGGAGCCGGTGTTTCAACAGATAAAAGGATTCATAATAACTGCTATGGGCAATATCTAGCTAACCTTGGGTTGATGCAGTACAATTATAAATGCAAGGTATAATATGAACCAGGTCAACCAGGTTTGTTCTTCAAATTACCTTCTTAGCTTCTCTCTTCCTGGCATAGTCAAGTAATTCAAGAACTCTCCTCCTTGTAACATCAACAGGTTTTGTCAGGGTGTACACCAGTTTCACTGCATGAGGTGTCTGGAAATAGATATAACCGTTTAAAATACCATGGGTAACATATTAAAAAAATAAGTAAACAGATTGGAAATGCTTAATGAGCTGATTAACTTGTACTATTATATAAAGCCGAAGAGTTTGTTTGTTTAAACGCAGGAACTACTGGTTATATTTCAAAAATTATTTTGTGTGTTGGATAGTCCATTTATCGAGGAAGGCTATAGGCTATACAATGTCACGCTACGACCAATAGGAGCTGAGCAGAGCATGTGAAACCGCGCGGAAGTAGCTAGTACTATTATATAAAGCTGAAGAGTTTGTTTGTTTGAACGCACTAACCTCAGGAACTACTGGTCAGATTTCAAAAATTATTATGTGTAGGATAGTTCATTTATCGAGGAAGGTTATTGGCTATAAAACATTACGCTACTATCAATAGGAGCCGTGCAGAACAGGTAGTCTCTTATCTTATAAAGTTAATAAACTGATTCTCAATAAAATATTCTTGATGAGTTTTTATTGCAATTGCATTTCTTTCTTCTGTAAATCCGTATTTATAAAGCAACATTGAAGCCATTGCTGACTGACTAACTATCTAATGATTACAAACTCCTGAGAATTATGTTGAGTTTAAGAGTCCTTAAGTCAAGTGACATAATTATTATTTTTGATTAAAGTAACAAAGGATAAGGAATAGTATGATTGGAGTATTTTGCATTCAAAATTACTTACCAAAGTCTCATAAGTCAAGCTGACATAGAACACATCATAGCCCATGTCCAGAGTCTCCATTTCAATACATTCACACTCCATTGCAGCTGCAAACAGTAAACAATAGTTTAGCCTGTTGAAATTCATCCCTAAATTTGTTCATACGAAAGTAGTTTCTAAACATTGGAAATAAGGTCTATAATGTAGTTAGTGGAGACCGGTCACCGGTGACCGCTTGGGGATTATTTTCACAGTTTCAGTTAGTTACTAACCACTTGACTACCGGTATATGAGACAGAATAGAAAATACATTGTGTCTCACATAGACCTATGTTTCCGCATACCATAAGTTATCAAATAACATAGCAAAAATTATAGGAATTAAAAATTATACACTATTACTAGGTTTGTTTACTAACACATTACACCAATCTTAGCCTCAATATACACAGATTTCACAAAAGATATTAGAAATATGGGGCCACAATAGGATATAAAATATATTAAATAATTATGCAATACACAACATCAACACCACAACATTAGTAGGTATATAACAACATACCTGTAAGCCAATCTAATAAGAATCCGATTCGAGAGAATGTGGACTGGTCCTCATAATTAGAAAGCATCCAACTCAAAGCATACTCCACAGTTCGATCTTCAACGAGATTCTGTGGCACAAGGCAAGCACCCAGGCTTACCCATTTTGATATAGCTGAAAATAAAATGTTTACGTTCTAATATGAAACAATACAGACTTATTAACATCTTACTAAAGAGCTTACTACTTACGAATAGATAAGTTTAACCAAACTTTGAACAAAGTATGAAAATCATTGTAAAGTATTCCAGTTGTATCAACAGCATATGCTAATTCATCAATTTTGTTCTGAAACAAGTCTTTATCGAATCCTTTCTTCAGCGATTTTATGTAATCAATAATTTCGTCCACATCTGCCATCGTCAACACTAAAAAAGTGACTCGATATTCAAAATAAACCAAAATATTACAGCGCTTCTTTCAAAGTATTTCAAAAGTTCACGTTTGACTTTGACGACGGTTGAATTAAATAAATGACAGACGCTCGCTGTCAGCAGAGCATACAAACATTCACAGATTAAAAAAGAGTTACTATTTTTTTAAGTTTTATTTGAACGCATTTGAACGTAACAAAACCCTAAGTAAAACATTGGTAAAACATTTTTTTGTTTATTCTCCAGCTTAATAAACTATTGTACTAATATTCAGAAACAACAATCCAATGCATGCATTCATGCATTCATAAGGTATGAAAAAAAAATAAAAGCACAATACATATTTCTTTTTCTTCTATATAATATTTTCGCAGACAATTTTGAAATTTAAAGGATTTCAAAATAATAACTTATCATAAAATATTTTTATTGTGAGTATAACATTTCCTTGGATAATACCTATTCAGCAAAGAATCTGAAAACTAGTAAATGAATACAAGGTCAAACAAATATACAAATTACCAATCTATGCTTCGTATTGACAACACTAGTTTTATGACATTTAGATTAGTTTACGGAGTATGTTTCTTATAACAGGAAAGGAAACGGATTTATATTTTACTACTCTGGTTATTTATTTGGTAAATGACTGACTTTTTTTCATCTTACTATTTTAGGTAATTTAAATCATCAAAATACGCGACATAAATAAAATTTCAAATTATTTTAAATAAAAAATAATTTAAACCTGACTGGCAGCTAACCTTATAAACAACAAATGAAAGCGTCCTTGTCTATGATATAAACTCAAAATGTTGCAACAGTAGAACAAGTCCCAAGTTATGTGGAATCTTAGTTATGAAATTAACCTTAAGAAATTTTTACTTTGAAATATAACTCAATGAAATTACGTTGTATATACACATTACCTATTTATTTTAAGGCATTCATTTATGTTTTCAATTTAAATTGTTCATATACAAAACGGTAAAAAAGTGCAAATCACTTCACAAACCAAATAATGTTATGCTAAATAATCGTATATTGCAATAACAGCGGTTGAGGTACGCAGTTGAGATCAAAATGTCAAAGTATAACTCAGTTCGACTCAATAAATTTTCAAGTTATGGCTGCAGTTATGCCATTTACTGCAATCAAACAATGACTATTTAGTAGCTAAGTCATATTTAATAGATTGGTTGGATCATTGAAGCCGGCCAGTCGATCTCCTTAAACGTAAAACAAACTCGTACTAGGCCCTAGAACCAAAAATTTTTATTAAATTATCATACTCTGAAGTTGTGTGACAACTGAAGCCATGTTTCTATTTCCAAGTAAAAGGACGCTAGGATTGTTTTTACACAATTATCGTAAATGAAAAATATCATAGTTATATGATCCACACATCTTCATAAAAAAATCCACAAATCTTTGTTAATGACGAGGACCGCCCTGAGGACATGGCAGAACACATGGTGGGGCATGCCCTGCATGGGCAAAGCACCGTCGTGCCCTCAGGGATATGATCGGCGACGGCGATCTCTCACGTCCGGTCCTAGTGCGGTCCATGATGCGGAGTGAGGAGGGCTGGGATGCCGTCTCCTCCATTTGCGTAGCAGTCTTGCTAGTTAAGGAGGAGGCGGGACACGCGATGCAGCGAAACGCTGCCTGCCTCCTCACAACACAGCCGTCGCGAAGGGCATTCCAGACATCGGGGCTTGCGGGACAATTTCGAATCACCCTAAGCAAGCACGGGCCCTAAGTAAAATCAGCCCGACCAGAACCAAACCCGAGCGAACATACGGAGCCGTGGAGAACGTAAAAGGTTACCGAGGCTCCGGCTCAAGTCGAAGTGCAGAAGTAGGAAGAGGGTGGTTAATATCTATAGGCGGGAGAGACATTCGATAATTTTCCCCTTTAACTCGTCGAGTACCGTATTTATAGACACAATTAAAGAACAATAGGTCGCGGTCACCGGTGACCGCTTGGTGTTTGACAGTTTAAAAAAGAAAAAAAATCTTTGTTAATTATTTCTTTCTATAAGAACCTGCTCTTACAAATAAATATCTCAACGAATAAGCGAAATCGCTTCTTCTATTTTCGAAATTTGCGCTTACCAACACAATCTCGTTGTTAAATTTTTATACTATTTTAGATTACCTATAGATTTAAGCACATTAATGAAAATAATTCGCAAATTTATAAAGTCTATGAAATAACTGCATCTTAGTCTAATAGTTGCAAGTAGATCGCGAAATGACAGTAATCTTTAGATCGATTCAGAAATCTCTTACGTCATACATTATATTAGCGTTTTAATGAATTTAAGAGATGATTCCTAAAACACTAATGTTGTCATTAGCGTTTTAGGGAATTAAAGTAATTTAAATTTAAACTGTCAAACACCAAGCGGTCACCGGTGACCGCAACCTATTGTTCTTTAATTGTGTCTATAAATACGGTACTCGACGAGTTAAATAAGTTTATCCACTATTACCTGGGTCTAACAACCGTCTTTGTCTACTGTTTACGGGTTAAAAGCTATAATTTTATGTTGTGGACATAACATATACCTTTTAACATACATATATTGTATAGGTACCTTTACCCAGTTGCACATTATTTTTTTGTGGGTATCTTTGTCTTTACCATTCCAGTTTCATTGTTCTCTGTATCCGTATTTTTCGGCATCTGTCAAACAGTCATGTGGAGTTTCTATACATATGGCTGGTATTACTAAAGCATAGACAAGACGCTTTATATTTTCGCTTCTCTTATTGAAGTGTCAAAATGAACGAATTGTCGTTTGAAGTAAACAGTATGGATATTTGCCAATTGACTTCTTTATAAAATATGTTTGAAATCGTTTAATCAAGAGTTAATTTTAGTGGTTAATAAAAACCCTTTAAAATGTGGCCCATGCTCCTCAATATGACACGCGACGAATGTCGCCTAACGCTTCGCAGACTCGGTATATATTTAGTCCTATAAATGGCTTTCGTTTTCCCTCCTATGGTTTTCTTAAATTATACTCAACGCGTCGCAACTTATTCGTTTGTAATCTTAACACAAATATGCTTAGAAATTTATACTTTATTCATTTGTTTGTAGAATTGGAAGCCTACTCGAATATGATCAGTGTTTTTAGAGCACAAGGAGCATTGGAAGACAACAGAAAAAAACTATTGGAAGAACTGCGCGCCGTTTTGCATATAAGCAACGATCGGCACAGTGCCGAGGCGCGCCGCGTGTCTAATGACGAGTTATTAGCCACAATTGCTGATCAGTAAGTTGATATTTAATATTTTCAGTGCAGGCTTGATGATTTATTTTTAAACACTGTTACACAAAGTCAAAGATGGCTGAGAGTAACTGAAAGTCAAAGGTATTAACATATTGTACTCATATATTTGCATATCGAAATGCTTGGAAGAGTAATAATCGTACAATATTGTTTTGAAAACTTGTATTTTTTTTACTTCTTACTTAGTATTCTATTGTTGTACTGAATCTCAACCCTGTAGATGTGTGTTTGGTTTGACACTGTGGGTTGATTACAGCTTTCAACAAACCCATTTGCTTGTTTGCATGTTATTAGAAGTGTAAAAAATATTTTCTTTAAGTATTATAAAATTTTGACAGATAACCTATTCATCTTAAATGTCATAATATTTTTTAATTTCTATTAGAGTTATTCAAAAGTTTTAGTAATTTATTAATATGTGTTCAATGTTAAGGTGATACATTATTTTATTTCTAACATACATTTGGCATTGAAGTTTTTACCAGTTACAAAATAAAATAATTATTGTTATGTACTGTACTTAGGAATTTGAGAAAAATATAAGATTGTATATAAAAGTTATATTAAACCAATTCTGCATAAAAGATTAAAAATTAATAATGTGAAATGATGAAATTTGTTGATGTTTTTGTTCGTTAAAACTTTTGTTTGTTTTAATAAACAATATTCAGTATAACAAAACCTAAACTTAATGGTAGGTCACCACTGGCTTGAAGATGATTAAAACATGACAGTATAATTTTAGGTAGAGATAAATATGGATTAAATAATTGGCCGAGTGAGTGATCATTTCACTGATAGCCATGCTGAATAATGTTCTGTCACATTATATTTTTTTTCGAATACTATTTTTAACTCTAAAATGATAATTGGAGTCATAATTGATGCAGTAACTGCATGAAAATGTAAATGTTACCAATTCTGCTTAACAGTATGGTATGAGAAGCCATTTTCTACTATAAACAATCTTTCTACTTAGATATGTGATGAGTTTGTATTTTTTTTTTATTTTGACACATTATACATTTAGTTGTAGATTTACACTGGTATTTTATATGAAATATTATGATACTATAGCACTATATATGTTTCGTTCAAACAAATATAAGTGCTATATTATTCATGATCCATATTAATAAATATTATTGTTATCACTTCAACAAACAGGTTAGCAGGCCCAAACACAGGCTTAGCATGGATCAGCGAAGGACGAAGACGGGTGCCTTTGATGCCCCGAGGAATTGCCCAAACTATCTACACAGAAATAGCTGACAAAGCTGCTGAAGCTGCAGCAGCAGAAAATAAAGAAATCCAGAAAAGACTGGAAGCTGAGAAACTTGTTGCTCCTAAGTCCAATGAGGAAGAAATTCCTGATGCTGAGGGCCAAACTGCTGAGAGTGCCATCGCATCTAATGACGCTATGGATGTGACTGTATACCCTCCCGTGGCCATGGAAGACCAGACAACTAAAGTGAGTACACCCAACTAAAGTTTTAAACTTTAAAAGTAAAATAAAAATTACTCTTATTTTATTATTATTAAAATTGAAACAACTAAACACAGACTAACTACTAAAATCTCAATCCGATAGTTTTCATTTGGCTTATTACTTCTTACATAACTTCAATATACTCTGCACTGTAAAATGCCATAAATGTTTGAGTTTGGTCATAACTGCGTGTTTAAGTTGAAAAACATTGATTTAAAAATCAGTGAAAGGTTGAAACGTAGTAGTACCTATTATGTAAGTGTGATACCTTGTATTATATGAAATAAAGTGATTTTTAGAAGAAAAAGTAAAATTTTTTTTTAGATTTGGGAAACTGAATTAACAAGCCGAAAGCGGAAAGTTCCAGAAAGTGGTGCAATACCGGAGGATGCCACTCCTGTTAAAAATATGAGGAACATCCCTATGAACACCAACCAGAAACACTTG